ATAACCTATAAAAATAATGTAATAGTATGAAAAATTAATTGTTGAATGATTGTTTTGCAGCCTAAACTTCTAATCTACTTTTATGAAATTGCATAATACTATAACCCATACTATTTTATTTTTATTCAAATGTATACTGCTTGAGCAACATGATTATCTATAAATTAATTAAAAATTAATTAGAAAATCATGATATATTACCATTACTTATCTATCTATTTATCTGTATTACTTTAATAAAGTAATTTTTTATTAAAAAAAGTACATAATTAATTTTCTTATATTTGAGTATAATATTATGAGAAAAATTTAATTATATATAATAAAATAAAAAATGTACAATTAATTGATTATAATAAGACAACTGTCCCAAAAGGTTCTATATTTAATTTTATATATTCTTCTAACAAATATATTAAGGAAAAAAAACATTATAAAGGAATATATATATATATATATATATATATATATATATATTAAAACATATAAAATAACAATATAAAGGAAAAACATATTAAATTTGATAAATAATATTAAAATACACTTAAGTTGTAACACTTACTAAAAAATATGAAAAAAAAGTAATAAATAAAATGTTATGGTTAATAAAAATAAAGATCAAACTTTAACTTGTACTTATTGATGTAAACGAGCTGAGTTGTTAAACGCTTGTTAATTTTTTGTTCTTATTAATTCTAGGTGTAAGTTTTAGGTGATAGACAATAGTTATATATACTTTTATTGGTAATTATCTTCAAAATTAATTCAAAATATCTAGAGAACTATAATATGTCTATATACGCTGAAAATAAATAAATTTTTATCAAGAAATTATATTCATATAGTACCATTACTCACGTATCTTTTGTTGAAACAGAACGATAAAAAGGACTTATATTAATAACAAAACGAGACTAGATAACAACTATTCAGCCGAACATACAGCCAACGACCAAATAAGCTAAACAACTTTTTATTAAAAAAAATGTACATATTTTTTTTAATATTTGAGTATAATATTAATGATAGAATTATAATTATATATATAATATATTATATAGATGTACAACTATAATGGATATAATAAGACCCAAAAAAAGTTATATACTTAATTTTATGTATTTTTTAACAAATCTAAAGGTTATATATATATATATATAACTAAGTTGTAATACTTACTAATAAATATGAAAACATGTAATAACGAAAAAATAATGTTGTTCCAATAGATATCAAATTAAATTACAATAGAATTTTTGTGGATTAATAAGTGTACCATCAAAATAACATAATGCCATTACAATTTATAAATTATAGTTTTTATTATTTGTCATCTTTCTCATATGTAATACTTTTTTTTACACATTAATATAATAACAATATGTTCAATAATATTAAAAAGAAAAGAATATTTTTTTCTCAATTCGACATATGAAAATAATAAAAAAATATTATATTTTTTTTTAAAAAAATTATGAACGAATATTTTATGTTATAGTATAGTTGACTCGACAATATAATTGATGAATGTATAAATTACGAATATATAACTAGAATTCTACATATAGTTAAAAAAAACATAAAAATATTTTTTAAAGTTAGATAAAATTATGTCGCAAAAGAGAGAATATAAGCTATCATCAAGATTAAAAAGAAATTGGAGAATAGAGCGTAAAATTTTAAATTTTGATAACTATTATATTTCGTTTAGTTGTACTATTGCATTTATATTATATCTTTGATATAGTTATGAGTTGAACTAAATTATAATTGATTGAGTTTTAAATTAATTTATTATTTATCTTTCTTTCGTTTAATTTTATTTTTTAAATAAAGGGCATGATTAAAATTATGAAAAATGTCCCCATAATTTTTGTTAGATATCTTATACTATATGTTTTGGGATGAGGCCTATGTCGGGACTATTAGACAAACATGGATCTGTCCATAATTCTAACAAAGTATTTTTGTTAAAATATTCATTGAAATATTCAAACGAGAATTGTAACATTGAAATATTCGTTAGAGTTGTTGTTGAAATTCCGTTGTAACATGCTTTCATTAGAATTTCATCATTTTCTTGCATTAAAAGTATGACTCCAAATAAAAAAAAAAAAACACTATTTATAATATTGTGTGCAGTTAATTATTTTATTAGTATTATAACAACTAAACAAGAAGTAAGAATGATGTTCTATGTAATAAAAAGGTAAGAATAATACTAAACAATAGGTAAGAATATTGTTCTACATGATGAAAAGATAAAACTACACAATGAGAAAGATTATAGCTCACATTCCATCCAAAAGAAATAACAAAAAATAAAATTAGTAAATGTCCCATATCAATTGAAGCTAGCGAATGATAAATGTAAAACATACTTAAGATGCACTTTTGTAAAAACTATATTTATCTTTTTGTGTTAGAAATATGTATGTTAGTCATCATCTTTTTAGTTAACAATTTAATTAATTTTTACCATTAAAATTTTAAATTTTGAAATACTTAATATTTTTTTTGTTTCACTTTTTTATATTTAATACATCACATCATATTTTTCTCATGGTGTTTGATTTGACCAATGTATTGTAAATAAAATATATATATACATAGACCAATTTAAAATAATATATACCGATTTATAGATCCATGTTAACTCAATTTTATTAATTATAAAATAATATTGGATAAACTTGTGGTATATTTTTCTTACATAGATTTGAAATATTCAATAATAAGAAAAAAGTGTAATTGGATGTAAACGTACATCTATTACCAATATTAACTATATGAATTAAAAGAAAAAATAAATGAGTTGTATGCTAAACTATTATGCAATTATTGCTTGAAAGAGAACACCATAATGGTTTTAAAAATATATTTTTTGTGGATATGAAAATAAATTAGTTACTTAGGAGTTTATCATCAATGGAAAAAAAATCCAAAAAATTTTTAATCTTATAAACAATATAAAAGTACATTTTTATCAAATATATTATTACTATCAAACACGTAAAAAAAAAAAAACTCAATGTGTATAAATGTGCTCTAATTTTTTCAACAAATAAAATATTATTTGTGAATAAAATAAAAAACAAATAAAACAAATAGTAATGCAATGGGGAAAAGAAACGGTCAGAACTTTTTTAGAAAAGTATGAATACCAATATTAAGAAACAAAAATCTTTGAAAATTACTACTTTTTTGTTGCTAGCATTTAAATATATGTTATCTATAAGAAATTGGTTCTCATAAATAGTGATTTGATATTATAATAATTTAAACAGGAACTTTAATAATGACTGCATAATAGTAAAGTTAACAAATGCCTAAGAGTATGATAATATAATAGAATTCAAATTCTTCTAATCTAAAATATTTTGACAGATAATATGCGTCTCAATATTGTCTCATTGTTTTGTTTTGTTTTGTTATTATTGAAGAATCAAGAAATGATTATTATCTTGAATTTTCGAAGCATTAGTTATGATACAAAAAGTGCACAATAAATGCATTAAATAAATTATTAGACACATAAATATTGAAAGTAATCCAAACGAATGTGAAATGTTTTATGATAAACAACTTTAAAATCATTGGAACAACCAAAATGTTCAATGATATGCAAATTGCTTAGGTTATGTAGTTCATCTATCGTCCAAATAAATAACATTGAAAAGGGAATGTTTGATTATGATTAAATTATTTTTGATTGATTGAATAAGTTCACTTTTGATAGAATATTTACAATCTTAATTGTGTATTGGGCTCGATCATATGTGAAATTACTTTAGAATACGTATTTTAATGTGATGTGTGATAATTTTAAAAAATAAATTAGCGACTTCGAAGAAGTACATGATTTTGAAAAATTAACTTTTATTTAGAGATTAAATTCGTTTCCACCCCATGGAGTAAGTACCAATTTCTCTATCTTAATTGTGTATTGTGCTCGATCACATGTACAATTACTTTAGAATACGTATTTTAATGTGATGTGGATAATTTTAAAAAATAATTTAGCAACTTCGGAGAAGTACATGATTTTGGAAAATCAATTTGTATTTAAAGATTAAATTCGTTCTTACCCCATGGAGTAAGTACCAATTTGTTATATGGAGAGAGAGAGAGAGAGAGAGAGAGAGAGAGAGAGAGTAATATAGTATTTTATACAATGATTAAAAAAAATATCAAGAATTTTAATGACACAAGTATCAAGAACTCTAATGATACAGTTGGTTATATCACAGAGATATTTATGAACTGTTAGTAAATATACTTTATCATGATCATACAATCATGAAGTTTGACTATATGTTTGGCTAAAGTATCTCTAAGTGTTGAATAAAGCACACGTTTTACCAAATTAATTAAGAAAAAATTAACAATACTATTGATGTATTGGAATACAACGAGTATAAATGTTTCTTATGAGAACATCAAATTAGAATGAAAGAAAATCACTCTTGAATCTACATAAATAAATAAAAGAACTCATGCATCTATAATATACATTAGGTCCTTATTTAGTGTTTTTTTTTTATTATGGACTCATTTTCATATATTTTTGTTGGGGTTGTAATATATTATTTAAATTTTTTTCTATTGCGACATCATTATATTATTTTTGAAAAATAAAATAAAATTAAGAGTTTATTTAATCTACATTTTATTTTTTCTTACTGCAATCATATGTTTAATAAATTAATTAATTTATCTTACTAAAATTAATCGACAAAAAACATTTGTCACCACGTGCATCGCACGTGCACTTTACTAGTGTAAGAAAAAATGTGAAAAACTTCATGTATATTTTTAGTGAGGTGAATTTGGGAAAAGCTACTTATACAACTTTTTGTACAACATTCAATGACAACATGATGTGGCATAATGTGGTTGGTTGAGATGTAAATAAAGGTATGGTTAGGATTTGACTTAATGATACTTTTAACTAATGTTGTATACTACAATTGTACAAGTACCATGCATAATGTGGTTGGCTGAGATGTAAATAAATGTATGGTTAGAATTTGACTTAATGATACTTTTAACTAATGTTGTATACTACAATTGTACAAGTACCATTGCCCGGTTAATTTTTTCCTACCAAAAACCATAATGTATGTATGCTTTGCTATCAATATTGACCTTTTGCCCATATGATCAATTCAACCTTCCTCTTTTGTTCCATTACATTGTGATTTGTGTGCTCCCTCACATAACCGCAGTCAGACTCATCCACCATCTTTTATATCATCGATTGAGATCATTGACAATGTCTTGTTTCCACTTGGTTCTGCCACTAATTCCCTTGCTATTGCTTATTTCTTCCTGTGAAGCAGAACAGAAGCTCAGCGCCCGAGAATGCGAGACTCTAGGTTTCACGGGCCTTGCACTTTGCTCCGATTGCCACACCTTCGCCGAGTACATCAAAGATCAAGGTTAGTATCTGAACTTATATTTCAGTGTATGATTCATAGATCATTTTGTTTGTCTTTGTGAAAAAATCAATATTGTTCTTGTTTAGCTTTGGGTTTCACAAAGAATGTTTTTCTCTTTTCACCTTGCGTTGACTTTTTCTATGCTCTGCGGTTCCAATAGAGTTTTCAGTTTTTCAAAGTTGCAATAAGCGTTCGATTGTGATGATTTCCTTGATTTGATAGAAATCAGGGCATGTGCTAAATTTTATCTACGTAGTACTGCAGCTTGCAAGTTAATCATGAGATGGTATCCAAGTAATGAACAAATTGAAAATGTTTGGAAATCTCTGTTGCTATATAGTGGATTATATAATTCTACTTTGTTATAAAGTCGTCAATTAGAACTAGTTTGTGTCGCCCTTTTTGTGTTGTTAGTCTTTTAGGTTAAGTGCGTTTAGGTTTCTTATCAGTAAAATTCTGCTTTGAAAATTTTGTATAATGTCTTGGTTGTATGATTTTAGGAAAACCTTACTAGGTTTAATGGTGCTTTTAGACTAATGTACTTGTTGGATCAAACAGACCATAGAGCTAATTTGGTGCAATCTTTGTTTGGGTGAGTTTTTAATGGCGTTCGGCCATGCGATTGGATTTGAAGTCAAAGAGAAGAAAGATCAGTGGCAGTGAGATATTGTATTTGTTAGCTCTGCCAATTGAAACTTCGGGAAATCATTTGATGTTAGTGTATCATTTTCACTTGATTTCTTGATGTTTAAGGTTGACACATGCCTTTACCTCTATGTAAAGGGGATTTATTTTATTAATAGAGGAAGGCAAGAATAATTGAAAGAGAAAACTAGAAGGAAAACTCAACATTTTGGGTTTTTCTTTTTATTTTCAAGTCTGCCATTTCATCTTATTCCTCAGGCATACATAAAAACTTACTTTTCATTTTTTTAAGAGATGCGACACAGAAAAAAAATGCTCTTAGAATATGGAAAAAAAAAAAAAAATTGCTCATAGAAATTACTTACAACTAGAAAGGATTCTCTAGGTGATAGTATGTGAAATAGATGGTGACTCTGAATATGGAAACAAGAGAGCTGTGTAAAACTTGTATCTTTGGCCAAGTTGTGATCAGATGCTTCCGGAGGTTCTAACAAGAATCTTCTTTTGTGCCCGAGTCAATAATATTTTCTGAATCTACAGATGTAATCTCACTGATAACTGCGAGATTTAAAAGCAATAACCATGATACAAAAAAACTGCATCTTTTACAATTTTCTTTTCTATAAACAAACTCGGGTTGGTAGGCGTATTCAAATCCTTTCCTTCTATGTTTTCTTCACGCCTTTATCCCATCAAATGCAGAGCTGGTATCCGACTGCTTAAAATGTTGTGCAGAGGATTCTGATGATGCTACAAGCAAGGTATTTCCTAGTGACATTTGTTCATAATATTGCAATCTCTTGTTGATCACCTTAGAAACGTTTAGCTCCATTTTTATTTTAGTTCCTCCTGTTTTGTATTCTATTTGTGCCTTTTTTGCTTAGGCATGACTTGTGCTCTAATATGCTCTACGTATTTGTTACATGAAAATTAATACATTACTGAGATGAAAATATATCTATGTTTTTGAATGCTCCAATATCTTGAATATATATCTTTTTGAATTATTTGATTGTTTGATTTTAATATATTATTAAGAATCAATCAGTACTCATTGTTGCTTCAATGGGGCTTGCAGGTCATTTACTCTGGGGCAATTTTAGAGGTTTGCATGAGGAAACTGGTTTTCTATCCTGAGTTGGTCGGCTTTATTGAGGAAGAGAAGGATAAATTCCCTTCAGTTAGAGTCCAATATGCCTTTAATTCCCCACCAAAGTTGATCATGCTGGATGATGACGGACAACACAAGGAAACTATCAGGTTAGCTTACTGTTGTGTTGCTTACTGTTGTGTTGCTCAAGGTGTTTATCCCAGAATATTGAGAAAATTATTTTTGGTTTTAATTAGCAATAAAAGGAAATTTAAGAATCAATCTAATTACAAAAATGTTACTTATCTTATGAAATTACATAAGCCCCTTGATATTTGTTTGCAAAACTGGCAGCGCGATGAGTGGGTATATCGTTAATAATCTGGCAGATTTGAGGGTTTACAAAGAGCATCTGCAAATAAATTTAATTGAATTGAACTATAAATCGAGAAAATAAACAAAGTTGGCAGGCTTTACCCTGCGTCAAGCGCAAGCACTGGCTTTCCTCCCAAGGTGATAATCTGCTGCTAACTTCTATTGATCTTTCGATGGCCAGGAGATCAACCCTACAAGTTAAATTAAACAAACTAGATGGGAAATGAAGTACGAGTCTAAAAAAAAAAAATGGCCTAATAAGGAATCATAAGACAATTATGGAAATAAATAAATAAATAGTGCATGCAGAAGCAGACCTTGAATAAAGTTTTTATAATACATTTAGGGGAATCTTAACATCTTTGTCATTTAGAAATAGAATCTATTCCAATTTCTAATTTGTCAAACTTCAAAATTGTATTGCAACTATCACTTCTTTAGGTATATAGAATTGTTTCGTGATGCATTGTAGACCTCGGTGTTCTTTACTTTGCGGAAATCTCAACTTTTAGCAGACAGTGGGTGCAAAGATATGTAACTTCGACTCTCAAAGTTTATTTCATATTGGCATTCTAGAATTTGATCTGATGTGTGTGCAGTGAGATCATAGGGTTTAGTTAATGGGTGAACAAATTTGGCTAACAGCTTAGGTGTGAAAAATTTAATGTAATAGTTTATATTCTCGTTAATTTAGCATCTTATAGTGGTGAACACATAAAGAATCAGGTTCTGCGAGTGACATTTCAGTTTCAGTATCTGGTGAAATCCAAGTTTATAAAACTTTACCCTACTTATAAGAAAAAGAATAATCACAAAATTTGCCCCTAAGGTTTGGACTATTTACGAGAAACTCAATTATTCTTCGGAATCATATATACCCGTTAAGCTATTCAAATAACCCCTGGAGATAGGTATTGATGGATGAAAATGTTTTAATGGAGTACCTGTAATGTACATAGATTGTTTACATTTTTGTCCTAACTGGATATTTCGAGGGTATGTTAACAATCAGCTTTTATATAGAATTGAAAATAAAATAAAAGAAACGAAAAAAAATAGGTCTACTTGGAGTCTCCTTGCTGCAATTTCTTGTTTTATGTTATTTGTTCTTAATTATTTGCTTGCATACTGTGTTTATGCAGAGTCGATAACTGGAAACGAGAACACATACTACAGTTTCTGAAGGAGAAGGTTAAACCATCATCGGATATCTAAATTTCATTCAGCTGATAAACTTTATACAAGATTATTACAGCTTATTGCATGTCATTTTCTTGCTTTGAATGGTTACCCTTTTGAGAAAAGGCGCTGAAAATGAGTACAAAAGGACTAGTTTGTGAACACTGAACAGTCACTAATCACCATTACATTTGGGTTCTTTAGACCCATTTTAGTTTTCATTGTCAGTTTCATATCCCTATTGAATCTTGATATCCCATCTATTGTTTTAGTTTAAATTTCCTAAAATATTTATGTCTAATTTGATTCAAGTAATGCTTAAACATATAAGAAAAGGGTTGCCGTATGATTAGAAAAATCATAACGTGCTTAATTAAAATATCTCAATGCTTAAACGTATAAGAAGAGGATGCCGTATGATTAGAAAAATCATAACGTGCTTAATTAAAATATCTCAAAGATGCTTGTAAACTTATTGAACCTTATTTTAAACTGCCTACTATTGTTTCCTCTTCATCCCTTTCTTTTGTTTATTGAGAAACGTATTTTCTTTATCCTTTTTCTTTTGAAAAAAATTAAGCACTCTACATTATCAAATCTTCGTTTTTGTGATTCAACTTTATAAAATAAATGGATGTAAATACTACAATAACGCTAAGGAGTCAACTGTTGGCTCTGTTATGGAGCCAACAGCCAATGGGACAGCTCCATGTGGACTGTCCCACATTGAATGGCTCCTGACAGTTGGCTCCTTAGCACTATTATTAAACACTATTCTAGATACAAAATATTCGATATTATAGGATAAATGACCGTCTCTCATACTATTATGTAATTATGGGGTATTATGTAATTATAGGATAATGACCGTCTTTCAAACTATAATTCATTAATAATTGTATCGTCGGCTATATATTAATTCTCAATAAAGTAACAGTAACTTGACCAGAAAAGATCGATTTTTGGGGTAAAAGAAAAAAGGAAAAAATAAAAAAACAAGAATATGAGCTTCACTAACAAGCATTATGAATTTATGATATAGATTTGAACGAATTTTTACTGATTTTTTCATAATGACGTCCTCAAAAATAAGTAAGCGTCAGTTAACACATTTAATTTTGAAAACGTTGATTGAGTTAAATTGGATGAGATTTTTGATTTTGTATTAGAATAATATTTAAAATAAAATAATTAAATTAATTAGACTTAAAAGTAAGAGAGATGTGATTGGAAGTGTTAAAATTATGTGAGCTGATAAATAGCTAAAAAAAGTTGATGTGATGTGAGAATGATTAATTGACATTATTTAATTATTTTGGTGATATTGAAGAGTGAGAATGAGTTAAATTTGAGTTAAAAAAATGGTTAGATTTTTGGATACAAATCTATATCCAAACAACCCCTACAATTTTATGTGAACAATTAAAATATGATATTGGTATGTGACATATTTACATTATTATCAATGTTTCAAAAGTCGCTAGGCGCTCGTTAAGTGGTGGACTGTGACTTAGTGCCTAGGCAGAGTCGAGAAAAAAATAATGAATCTATTTATATTTGTTATCATGCATAATTTATAGATATATTATATAAAATATATTAATTAATATGGTCGAATATAAATATATGTAAAATATAATGTATTCATAATTTTGTATTAATTGTGAAATAATTATCAACATTTTTTATGATATAATTAATATATATTTAATTGTATTAAATTAATTTAAAAAATAGTTTTTAGTTATGAAATTATTTTTATTTTTTTAAAACTAAACTAAAAAAATTGAAAAAAAAAATAAAAATGTACGGGAGTCAAAACCGTCTAGGTGTTCGCCTAGCCCGCCTAGTTTGCCTAAGCCGGCACCTCTTTGGAGCAACTAAAACGACCTTTTTAGGTAAAATTCGTGGCTCCTAACACCTGGGGCCATGGGTGACGCATGTGAGTTTGATAATATGAAACATTAAAATAACGAAATTATGACATAAATTACCTGAAAATCCAATGGCATCCAATTTGGATCCAATTTGGTTTGGAAGTGAGCTCACGATACTGCAAGCCCGTGCTCACACTCGACTTTGCTTCGCCATATTTGCTTAGTTTCTTCCTCAAGAGAGATTATTTTCTACTGACTGATAAAAAAAGGAAAAATAATGTGGATAACCGGAGCGATTAGGCGACCTCTGCTCCGGTTGCAGCTGAACGCGGCGGCGAATTTTTCCTCGTCGGTGGCGACTGTGGAGGCGGAGAGGAGCATAAAAGAAGGGCTGAGAAATGACTGGAAAAGACAGGAAATCAAGTCCATCTACGATTCTCCTGTTCTCGATCTCCTCTTTTATGCGGTAATCTTCTCCTACATTAGCCCCTTTTTTCATTTTTAGCCTTAATTTAGGGAGAGAGAAAGGGAACGCTGGTGTTTGTTTGTGCTCGAGGTAAGTGTACATTGTGCTTTACTGATTGTACGTGCTCTAACATACATTTCCATGCTTTGAAGGTTTACTCAATCTATCCACTGCTTTGTATTGGCCTTATAGTATTTTGTTTCCTTATTCCTCATTGTTTGGTTTTATAACCTACATTGCATTTTTTTTTTAATATATAAATATATATATATATATATACAAGTCTTGGTTGGAGACCCTGTGCTTTCATGTTAATTTGTGGGCGTCTTGTTTAATGAATCGTAAACTTAAATACTGATAGCCACGAGTCTCGTGTGTTGAAACACTCGATTATGGTTACTGTTTGTAGAGTATATATCGTGATTTAGAAAGAGAAAAAGGAAGGGGGTACAAGGAGAAGTAGGGATAATATTTTAAATGGTGACTGTGATTCCTGTGTTATGAGTTTTGCTGTAAATAGAACACCTGCTCAAGTGAGTGCCTGTCAAACAGTGGAGCCAGTTGAACTACAGAAACAATAATTTTAGCAGTAAAATCTCCCATTAAAATGTTCCCTTTTAGCTGTGACATCTAATGCTGCTCTCATATACTTTGATTATAAGAAGTTCAATTATTTTTCTTTGGATATAGGTTTGTATAAGTGTTTAATCTGTTCCCTTACAAGGACGATGCTTGTGCAGGCTCAAGTTCATAGACATGCACACAATTTTAGAGAAGTCCAGCAATGTACTCTGTTGTCTATTAAAACAGGTGGATGTAGTGAAGATTGTTCATACTGCCCTCAGTCTTCTAGATACAGCACTGGACTTAAAGCACAAAAGCTTATGAATGAAGATGCTGTCCTTGAGGCTGCAAAAAAGGTGAAAATTATATGTCGGCATGCAATTAAGAAAATTCGTTTCCACGCAAGTTGTGGCTTAGTATATGTTTTTGTTGTGAAAGTAAATTACTAGTGGCTGTCTGCAAGATTCTTTTTCTGAAACTCATTTTGTGTTGTTTTCATTCAAGATATCCAAGACAACCAAATTGGCGGTTACATCTTTATTGGTTACATTAACCAATACACGCATGTTAGGTTACATTATAGAACTCATGGTGTTCTTTTTGAACTAACTTTTGTCTGTGATCTTCACTATTCTACCCTTACTTGGCGATCATGTATACATTTGCATTAGCATTGCCATTTCCGGAACTACCCTTGAGGTTCAGCTTTATTAAACAAGCAAGAAAAAAAGGTATCCAATTTTTCTTGCAAAGTTTTCATGGGTTCCTATGGTATTACAACAATATCCTCCTTTGTGATTAATCATATATAACGGGGGTAATTTGTAATAAACGGTCAATTTTATTTTTATTGTTATTTTTATTTTTATTTTTATTTTTATTTTTTTTATTTTTATTTGTCATTAATTTGAACCGCAAGAGTAGCACTTTTTATTATTATGACTTAATATTTTCAAATTCCTTAGCTTGTTGCCTGAGTAAGATCTATTTGTACATAAACAGGCAAAAGAGGCAGGCAGCACTCGATTCTGTATGGGTGCTGCATGGAGAGACACGATAGGAAGAAAGACCAATTTCAATAAGATACTTGAATATGTGAAAGAAATAAGGTAATGCTTGAGTTTTTTCCTTCATTTTGTTCTATTGTGATTTTATGGTGAGCAAACCTTCCGTACCTTTGCACAATTTTCATGTGATGAAGGGGTATGGGGATGGAGGTCTGCTGTACATTGGGTATGATAGAGAAGCAGCAAGCTATAGAGCTAAAAAAGGCTGGCCTTACAGCTTACAACCATAATCTTGACACATCTAGAGAATATTATCCTAAAATTATAACCACGAGAACCTTTGATGAACGTTTGCAGACCCTTGAGCATGTTCGTGAGGCTGGAATAAATGTTTGTTCTGGTAATCTCTTTGATGTTTGTTCAATCTCTTGAAGAATATGTGCACGTAGTTTGCTGCATCTTGTGGTTATTTGCTTATGTGTTTGTTTTGTATTATAGGAAATGTTTACATGCAATTACATTAAGGAGTGTTTATGAACCGCTGACGAAAAGTAGGCTTAAGCATTAAGTTTTGGGAAAGCAAATCAATTGTTGGTTTTCCTGCAAATGTTACTTTTGGTTTAGGTTGATTTCATTAAACTTAAATTTAAAACAGGGGTTGGAGTTTTTCTGATTTTGTAAAAGTGCTTTTGGAATTGTTCTAAATAAAGAAAATTTGATTTTCGACATTATTATTCTTCTCTTTTCAATATTTACTTTATAAAAGACTCGCTTTAAAGAAACACTTTGGTGAGTGACTTTGGTGGACTTTGTGAAACTTTAATGACTTTGGTGGACTTTCTGAGTTTTTCATATAATTCTTATCTGAATTTTAAAAACTTTCATCATGTACTTTTTGAAACTTATTGAGACTTCTATATACTTATAGTATAGTATGAAGAACGCGCTAGTCTTTTTTCTCGACAATCAAACTTTCATTTTCTCCTGCTTTTCATTTCTTTGCGCAAACACTGCCTACTTAATATTTAACAACTAGTTTTAGTTTTATACTTCAATAAATCACTTTACCTAAAGGATAACTTTTCTGTGAATACTCTCTCATCATCCAAAGACAGATGTAAACCTCTTAATTCACAATGATCATTCGACACTAAATATGTCCGGTTTGTAACATCCAGTTTCCTGTTATCAGGAGGAATAATTGGGCTTGGGGAAGCAGAAGAGGACAGAGTTGGATTGTTACATACACTGGCAACACTCCCTACACACCCTGAGAGTGTACCTATTAATGCACTTGTTGCGGTCAAAGGCACACCCCTTGAAGATCAAAAGGTATTGATTTTGATCAGGAAAATATTATACTTGTTGTGAATTTTTACATATTTTCTTTTTCTACTTGAGAAAACCAGAGTGAAGACAAAGACGATACATTTATAATAAGTGAAATTGTAGGTGAAATTCTCAACTTTCTTTCCGGAAAGATTTATATCTTTCCTGTCAGAGGGAGAGTTAGGATCACATCAACCAAAGGGAACAAAAATATGTAGATTCATATTGTGCTCCAATGAAGTGTACACGAAAGTACAAATACTTGAAATCTTGAAGGTTATATTTGAATTGGAAGGATTCTATTTTGGAGGAGATGATTTGGAGGGATGATTTAAGTGACTCCATTTAAGACCCTTTCCAAATCCACCGCACTTGCTCAAATAAAGTTCCGACTATGAGCTTAAGGGATTTTCAAAAATCCATCTTTCATGGGCTTTTCCAAGCAAGATTATTGAATTTCTTATCATCGAATTTGGAGTTTCATAGGAAATTTATTTTTCATTTTCATTTCTGTCCAAAAGAAACAATAAATAATAATAATAATAATAATAATAAAATATCCATCCTTGTACTGAAGTTCCAAAGAAGATGNAAAGTGTATAATGTCAATTATGGTGTGTGCCATGCTAAAGTTTCATAACTTCTTTCTCTCAGCCTGTTGAAATATGGGAGATGATCCGAATGATTGCCACAGCTCGTATTATAATGCCAAAAGCAATGGTCAGGCTTTCGGCTGGCAGGGTTCGTTTTTCCATGCCCGAGCAGGCGCTTTGCTTTCTTGCCGGTGCAAATTCAATTTTCACGGGCGAGAAGCTACTGACGACCCCTAACAATGACTATGATGCAGATCAGATGATGTTCAAATTGCTTGGCCTCATCCCAAAAGCTCCTGAATTTTCAGAGGTTTCAAGCAAAGAGTTTGAAACAGAAAATGTCGAAGTTGCAGCAACAAACTAGTTCAGGTTGAGAATAGCCTTCCTTCCTTGTGTCTACTTTTTCTTTTCTATGTAATTCCTTAGTATTTGTGTAGCCATGTAGAAATTGCTGTCTTGGTGAGATTTTTCAATTCCCTGTTCGAGTTCTACGTCTGTATATGGATAATTCATGAATTAGGCTGCTTTCTAGAGCTAATGAAGGACTTCGCACTTGACACGGTAAATCCGGGTTAGTTGTTTGTTAACACTAGTATTCTAAAAATCGAGCAAGACGTCCGGGCGCCACTGTTTTTGCCTTGGCGGCTCTTCTAGGTGCTCGACGGACTAGGAGCCGTCCAAGTGGGCTAGGCAGTTGTGAAGTTAGTTACCCTGTGGTAACTCGATAGCTAAGGCGTTCTAGGCGGTGCCTACTTTTTTTTTATTATTATGTTTTTAAATTATAATAAAATAGATTTTTTATTTTTATGCATAAAATGTATATTAATTATACAATTAAAAAATATTAATTATATTAAATATAATACAATAGCTTTGTATATATTACATTTTTAGATAAATATTTTATTTGACCATATATATACACACACCACACACACACAATTGTAGGCACAAAATTTAACGCAATAAAAATCTTTTTCCCACTCATTTTTTAGCTAATTTTGGAAAGAAATTGTTACATTTTGCATTAATCAAGTAATTATATCTTTTATTTATTATACTCCATTATAGCTACTACTAACTAATCATAAAGTCACAATAAATTATTAAATTTATATTGCAAATTTTTTCAAACTATTTATTTAATTAATTATATTGGTATTAACATATTAAGCATTTTTTTAATTAAAATTAGTTGATTATTTTTAATGGCATAACCAAACTACTGAAAATCTGGCTCACAATTTCTATAATAATAGTTTTAATATTTTTGTATCTAGGTAGGTAGTCATAATCACTCAAAATTGTAAAAATTACATTATTATAATTAATATAGTGATTTATTTGTAAGTTAAATAGTTTTTATTTATATCTTCATTTTTACTAATAATAAAATTTATAAAATGTTAGAATAGTTATTGAGTGTAAAAGGTCAATGGGACCTCCACTTGAATTGTTGCGTGAAGAAATGGTATTGCTTGCATACTGCTTTTAAAAAGCAACTCTGACACATGAGCGGTGCTCTGACTTTGTAATAGTAAGCTTTCTTCAAGCATTGCGTGTATATATACATGGGATTGCAGAGTTTTTTGGTACAGAGAAAGCGATTATTCATCAACTACATTCCGTGGATAGGAAACACCCCTCAAATCATGCTCGATCCACGGAATGACACCAGAAGGCGGAGCAGCGAGTTGGTGACAACCAAGAGCTGTCGAAGCCGCCAAAGTTGCTAGATAGTCTGCCGCAAAATTAGCCTCACGATAGATATGAGAAATCTGCACCTGCCAGTCACGACTAAGGATCTCGCGTATCCCCAAGACTAACCCATAATGGACCCCTGCTATCTCCTCAGTGTTCATGGCGAATCCCAGACTCGAGAATTGTCAACCTCAGCCTCAACCCGACGGTATCCCAAATTCCATGCCAGGATAAGGCCTTGAAATAATTCCCATAATTTTGCCCCCATAATAGAGCATTCCCCAATCATCAACACAAAACCACCGACTCATGCACCATGGGAATCACGAAGCAACCCACCCGCCAATGCCAAACCTGAGGAACCATTATGGGCCTCATCCGAGTTCACCTTTATCCACGAGTCCGGCGGTGGTTCCCAGCATACAAGACGCTGGACCCGAGTAGTCTCGGTACTACCGACCTTCCTAGCCCCTTCGGCAAATTGCAATACTGTTCATGGGATTGCAGAGATTTAAAAGTAGAGAGAAGTGCAGTGAAAATCTGAGAAACTGAAAGCACAGAAAAAGAAGTACGAGAAATAGAGAAGAAAGCTAAGAGGAAAAAGAAGATAGGAGATAAAAAATTAGAAACAAAAAATAGAAGAAAAATAATACAATGATGGCTCTATTGAAACAAAATTATTTGTTATCAAAATAGAAAAAGAGAGATATTTTTTACTCCAATTTTAAGTATTCAGTTTTCAACCTTGTTCCACTTTATCGGAACTCGTAAGTCTAGTGTGTTACAAATTTTGAGACGATCGCTGTTGTATCTTTAATTAGGGACGATACGTCTTTCGTCTTGCGGAAAGAGTTCACTCGCCTCGACTATAATCTTTTCGTTTTTTCAAGCTGTAATTTAATTTCAATTCCATTGTAATTTTGTATTTTTTAGTTCAATTGTAAGAACTGAAAAATACACTTCAATTTGTAGGATTCCTGTGTATTTCAACACCGCATTTTTATAACATAAAATAATATCTTTAGATTATACCTAATAAATCCCGACCAGTCCCCGCTTAAACGTCTAGCCACTTTTCTAATCTTGATTAACACGGTGCAAATTAAACAGGCCTTGCACCTTGAAAATACAATATATGAGTTACGACCCATGTCCATACCCGTCTTCGTTTACTTTAGCGATGATAATTCCTATTTTAGAGATATAAATTGTGTTATTTTTATCTGGTAATATATGTTTCATAACCGTTAGCTTGGATATAACCATTTTAGAATTAATTATTAACTAAATTTTATCTGAATAAAAATTGTATAATTAGTTCAAAATGTTAGAATCACTTACTAAATTCTATCTGAATCAAAATGAACTATCAATTTCAAAATCTGAATCAATATGTGTATCAGTTTCTTAGAAGATAAAGATCCAAAAGCGCTTGATGACAACACCATACGAACAAAATTACAGACATAATAATGTGAAATTATTTTTCTACGGATCTTATCACCAAAGAGGAGGCAAAACAGGCAATTTAGGTGTTTTCGGACTCACTTTTTCTTTCAGAATTTGGATGTGAGCCATCAATCATGTGATATGTTTCCTTGCATAAAATAAAAAGGAGGAAACAATTCATTAACCTACCGATCAGGTGGCCAAAAAAACCATTTTTTTATTTTTTATTTTTATTTTTTGTACCGTTCTCAATACTTAACCGTTTTAAATCATGTCGATATTGGTTTTGAATATTTTTATCACAATCTGTCCCGTTTAATTAATTACTTTATATTTTACAATATGTCAATTAATTCATTCTGTCTGTGATTTTGACATTCGACATTATAAATATCTATCGAAAGCTCAAAACTAAACAATCTAAATTGGCCCGGAATGCTAAACTTAACAAATAAATAACACAATGTGCATTTTAATTGATTGACCCATATGTGTCTAAGTCAAATCTGAGAAGAAAATGAGAGTACGCGACTTCACTTCACTCTTCACATTTCAGATTTTCACTTGGCAGAAAAACAATATTGAATTTATGGGTTTTGGTT